TTTTGCCTTATCTTTTTCCTAGACAGTTCTTTTGGGGTTTCCGATCTAGCAGGCTACCCTGATTTTTACCTAAGAATATCCTAACAGGCATTTATTATTTTCTTATTTTTTTATGCTTCCTCTTTTTTAAATGCATGCTTGATCTTTGATTAAAGGTCTTTGTGCATATTTATGATTTATCAATAAAGAGGCATTTCCATAATATTTGGTCAAGAGAAAGGAAGTGAAAGGGAATTTTATTGATAAATGAACAAAAGTTTATTTTTTTTATAGAAAGATTTCAAGGGTATTTAGAAGAATGGGTGGTCAGGGTTGGCTATATTGTATAGGCTTAAACAGTCATGTCCATGATATCTACCCCCTGGTTCTCCTAATTGCTTCAATTGATATGCCTGAGCTCAAAGTGAAGACTATGCAGACTGCTTGCTTCTGGAAGAATGTTACCTTAGTCGCCTTTCGGTTTTTGACTGAGGTAACCATTGCTCTAAATTTTTTATTTTTTTTTACCTCTACTTTTTGCCTAGGACGTATCCTAGCGAGGGTTATAAACCCTATCTTTTGCCCAGGGATGCCCTTTGCGAGTTTTCATTCCTGACGGGTCTTGAGCAATGTCTTCAAGCATAATACTTCTTCACCGTACCGGAGTTGATTAGGTGTCGAAGTTCTTTTCCATCCATATTGGCGAGGATAAGAGCCCCTTCCGAGAAAGCTCATTTGACCACAAAGGGTCCTTCATAGTTTGTTGCCCATTTTCCAATTTTATTCTTCTGGGTCAGAAGCAACTTATTTACCATTAAATTCTTCTTTTGGTAAATGTGGGGGTTAACCTCTTTTCATAAGCCTTTTTTATTTTCCTTTGATATAACGTTTAGTCGTTTTTCTTCAATAAGGTTTACCTGGTCATATCAGCTTCTGTTAAATTTGCTTCCATCATCCTATGCTTTTGTCAACATGATTAGCTGTACCGATTTGTCGTCTTGAATCTTTTCTATAACCGAAGAGTAATCATTTTGAATGTAGAGCAACTGCCATATCAATGCCCCTCTTCCTTTCCTTAGGGATTTCAATCCTCCTATTGATCACTATATTTCCACATTTCCCAGTCAATTACTTGAATGCTTTATGGTGAAGGGTCAAGAGAATAGAAAGAAAGAGATTTATTGTAAAGGCTTGTGTTTTAGTGAGATTTTTTATAAAATAATAGTTATGTAAGAATGGCTAGCCAAGGTTGGTCGGTGTTTAGGCTAGTTTAAACAAACGTTTTGTTTTAATGAGGTGGCTTCTTCAATTGATTACTTTATGGCGCCTATTTGTGACTGATTAACTTTCCTAGTCTGCCCTTTTGGGTTTTCAGCCCAGGATTTTGCCCTTTTATCTTTTTGTGTTGGCCTTTGACCTTGACGGGCTTCTTTTAATAATAATTTCTTTTCTCAAAACATTGTCGAAACACGATTTTCTTATTCGTGTCTCTAGCTCATCAATCATGTTAACTTTGACTTTATTTCGTCTATGGTGTTTTGATTATTTTGACGTATTTTGGAACAAAACGTTTGTCTAAACATGGTTATTTATGGGGTATAGATATGATTAGCAAGAAAAGAAGCAGATAGTAAGAATATCATTCTTTTGTAATTCAAAGGGAAATGTGTTCCCTAAAGATGCTCGGGGGTCGGGCACACCCCGAGGAGTGATTTCTAATAGTCATTGGGTTTATATCCCTTAGAATCGGAAGAAGGACATCTAATGACTAACGTTACCCTTAATGCTAATATGCCTCATTTTCGGAAGATCGTCTTTATGGTGTGGAGGGGAGACTTCTCTTTGTACGACTTGATCTTTTGTAAGGTCGTACTTTAAAGGATTATCCTTAAAATCTGGTGGTTCTCTTATTCCTTGAGCATCCTTTCCAAGCCCTTGTCTTGGGTTGTATCCATATCTCTTCATTATATGGGCCACTTTCATATTACTAGGAAGTCTTTCTATGTTAGCAAATGATATTTCAAAGGTCCTTTTCAGCCGCATCCATACAAGGCAGGGTAGACGGCTTGCTGATTCGAATGTAGTCTTTAGCTTGAACCATGATCAACTTGTCATCTACCACGAATTTGATTTTTTGGTGGAGCGTTGAAGAAACTGCCCTAGCACCGTGAATCCAAGATCTACTTAATCTTCCCCTTGGATTCTTTTTTTCTTTTCCTCTTCAGTTTCTTTATTTATCCTTTGTTTTTAGGAGCATTAACTTGTAGCTCCTTGGGTGAATAAATTCTTTTGGTTCTCATCCTGCCCCCAATGCCGACTATATTGGAGATATCTTCATTGACGGACAATTCTTCTGTGCATATCCACAATACAACTTTATCCGATGTATAAGGGAAAGGACGAGGCATGAATAAGCACAAATGTGTTATTGCCCCTTCCCTGACATTATCAATTTGGGTACTGACATTTACTTCTTTCTTATTATCTCCTTGTCCCAAATTGATGGCCTTAATTTTTTCTTGATGGGGCTGTATCAATTGAGCTTATTTTTCCAACAGTCTTTGCATGTCCGGGAAAATGGTCCCCTCCTCACTATCTGACTCAATCCATTCGCCTTCAGCTTTCAGATCCCGCAGAGAGTTTTCAATCACAGACATGATTGTTTATACGGTCCTTATTTGGGTTTAGATTTTATTTAATTATTTTGGAATGAGAGAGAAAAGAATGAGAAGAATATGAATATTATGAAAAATGCTTCGTTGTATAGATGAAAAGAGAAATATATACAGAGTCCCTTTAATCAAAAGATCTCGCGGCCACAAGTAAAGACCGCGAGAGATGCATCATAAGCTTTTTATTATTATATACTTTTTATTTATTTATATATATATATATATATATATTTTTAATGAGGAGCCCTAATTAGCTGGTCTTCCCCGTCATTCCGGTTGAGACAGAGGCATGTCGTCCACCTAAGGGTCGGGAGCATTGAAAGTAATCCACCCGACATTCAATAATTCTTGAACCCTATATTTTAAGTTGATGCAATCTTTCACGGAATGCCCAGGAGCGTCTGAGTGGTAATCACATTTTTCATTGAGCTTGTACCAACCGGGGTAAGGTGGATCTTTCTTCTTCAGAGGGATACGTGTTAAGAGCTTGGCCTCTAACAGCTTTGGCAGACTCCCATAAGAGATTGGAATGGGGGTGAATTTCTTCTCTTGTCTGCGTGACTGCCCAGCTAGTGGCAAAAAGGTAGAAGGAGTAGCAAGGTTGATGGCATTTACACTTCCCTCTTTCTTCTTGCCAAAGGACTTCTTGAATGATACGCGGGACTTCTTAAATTTGGGAGGGGATTGAGTATTTTCGACATCGGTTTCCTCCTTTAAATCAAAGTTGTGTCCCTCTAATGCCCTTAATTTCTCCTCTAGGGCAGAAATTTGTTGTTTGGAAACCTCATTGTGGAGGCATTGTCGACGCATTAGTTCCATTAAATACGCCATTTGCTCTTTTACGAAGTTAAGCTCAGTGGTGAGCCTATTATTTTGTTTCTCTAACTGCTCCTTTATGGCATTAAGCTCAGCGGTGAGCATACGGTTCTACTCCTCTAATTGCTCCATCTTCTTGGCTTTTTGAGCGCGAGTGAGAACAGGTAGAAGACCAGTCACTTTCTAAATGATTTAAAGATTTTTATTATTTTTTTATTATGAATGATCAGTGTGGGATAGATATGCCTTAGACCATAGCTTTGGTGTTTTCCTAAAAGGTTCTGCTTTAGGGAGTACCATACCCACCTTGGTGTGATGGTTCCCTTTTTTCAAAAGGTTACCATCATACCTTAGCACACTTATCTCTTCTAGGAAGGTTATAAACGCACTTGGGTCTCTTTCACTATTATCTTAAGATATCTAATGCATCCTAGAATGAATGTGTTTATGCATACACTACAAAAATACTTTTTATGACAACAAATATTGAAAGTGGAATAACTTTTGACTGACATGTCCGATTTAGACATACAAGATATCAAAACGAAGAGAAAAAGGTGAAGAACCAAGTTACAAATCCCTAAGGGGATTTGGCCCACTAATTTTCCCAAAAAACGCTCCTAAGACCCATTTTTTTGGAGGTTTATTAAAATGATGTGTATGCATGCTGCATTTATTTTCTTTCTTGGTTTTTTCTTATGAAATGATGTTGTATGAATGATAAGTGCCAGTTAATTTGGCAATAATTAGTGTAGATCATGTGACATAATTAGGGCCAATTAATTTGTCAATGGATAAGTGCACATTAACATAGTTAGTGTAGATGGAAGGATCAGACGCAGTACTGACAGAATTGGAAGTACTAAAAGGAGCGGAAGAAGTCAAAAAGGGCAAAGACGACAGTGACAGCGACATGAACCAGTACACCAGGTAAGTTTTCAGGAAAGAGAGGTAGGTCACTAATGGACACACTTAAATACCAAATTTTTCCTTGTCAAAACTTTCCTAGATATACACTTTCATACTACAAAATAACCGATAGCGATAGCAGCGGTGGTGGCGACTTCAATAATGGTCATTGGCGAACAAAAAATTTTCAAAATAACCTTAAGCTCTGATATCATGTTAAATATAGAAGAAATAGAATTTGGAATTAATCTCCCTTGTGTATAAATTACACATAAGGTAGTCTATTTATAGTAGAGAGATACAACTAAAAGAGTAACTGAAAATAACAAAATAAACAGAAGATATTGTTTAATATTATGGTTAACAATATCTAACAATATCAAATAATATCAAATAATATCTAAACAATATGTAACATAAATTTGTTTTTCTTTTCTCTCAGTACTCCAAGTTACAAAACTATCTTGTACGTAAAACTCCTGTTACTTCACATAAGTCAGCGACAACAATAAAAAACAACAAATCCAAAATTAAAACAATCTATGCAGAATCAACCCAATCCAAAACCCACATTGAAAACATAATCAACAAAATAAGCGGATCAAAATGGAAAAAGGAACAAACACTGAGTATGAGAGGGATTAGGGAGGAGGTAGTCGAGGTAGTACAGTGGCTCAAGATGGAGGAAATCGCGGGTGAGGTGAGCGGGGCACGGTGAAGGTGGAGGCAAGACACCGTGGCCCAAACGGAGGGCTCGACACCGACAGTTCACGGGGCGATGGTGATCGTGGGTACTCACAGTGGTGCCATTATCTGGACCTGCGGGAGCATGAATTCGCTACAGTGAAGGAGCGAACGACGGATGCTGCAGGGGATTTGGGCTGACGATTGTCAAGGGTGCTTGTCACGGTAGCCACTGGCGGTGCGGGGAGGAGGCTTGCAATGGTGGCGCGCCGAGGTGACGGGGCGCGGTCAAGGTGACGTGGTGGGTATGGGTTGGCAGCGAAGACTCTTTTTTTTTGCAGAGGAGAGTGGAGGCTTGGATTTGCTAAAGTGAAAATAGGGAGAAGAGGATGAATGGGTCAATTGGAGATTTGTCGTGTGGTCGAGGTCGAGGGTGGCTCTCGAGGTGGTCACGCGGTGGCTTTGGGGTATGAAAAACAGAAGCTGCTTGGCCAAATGTGAAGTTAGTCGATGCTGGGATGTAGCTACTTGAATCAGGGAGAGGGGTTTGGCTCGGGATGGAGAAGAAATGGGTGAGGGCACGGAGGACGGTGGTGGGGTGTGCGGGTTGAGCTAGGAAGTGAGGTGAGGCAAAATGCAGGGAAAAAGAGAAGGTTCTTCTCGTAGGTGAGTGGTTGGGAATGGGAAATGGAGGTGAGGAGTAGGGTTGAAGGAGATGGTGAGAGCTGAAGATGGAGGCTGCGGCGGAGAGAAAAACGAGGGTTAGGACTGCGAGGCTGAAAATGGGAGTGGGGTTGTAAGTGGGGACTCCAAATCCGAGAAGAAACCAATCTAGTGAGGACTACAAATTCTATAATTTTATATAATTATTATTATAAATTTAATTGTCCAATAACTAAAATTGTATTTGAAACCATTATTTTTTTTTTTATCTTTTTAATCCTTTTTTTCATATTTTAAGAATAAACAGTGTTATTCATTATCATTATTTTATTTTTATCTACCCGGACGAAATTGAGTGTTGAGTGTGGGGAGAATGTGTTAATTAGAAATGAGGTGGGTCTTAGCTAAAACCCAAAAAGTAAAAAATAAAAATATAATTAAATAAAAGAAAAAATATATACTTTTGCATTTTTATTTTCAAATATTATTTTTTTCATAAAATTAATTTTAATTAAAATAATTAAAGTGATATATATAAATTTATTTATTTATTTATTTTATTTTTAATTTATTAATATTATCAAATTTTAGCTTCATAATTAAAAAAATTACCAATAATTTAAATTTTATTAATTTTATAATTTTATATAATTATTATTATAAATTTAATTCTCCAATAACTAATAATATTAACATATTTATTAAATTAAAATTCTTTATTTAATTAATTATTTTAATTTTTTTAACAATTTTTTTCAAATAAAAACGATAAAACTTAAAATTAATTTCTAACTAAATCTTCACATATTTATGGTTAATACTATATTATATTATCATATTTAATTAAATTTTAAAATAAGTTCACTTAATATTTACACTTTTATATAAAAATGACTAATATAAACTTAAAATATTTATCCAATTATTAAATTATTCAAAATATTAATATAAATTTGAAATATCAATTCAGTAATTAAAATAATTTTAATTTTTTTATAAATACATTGAAATATATTTTTATTAACATACAAGTAATATATATATATATATATATATATATATATATATATATATATATATATAAAAGAGACTATATTAATAATTAATTTAATGATTGATTGAGGGATTGAATTGGTGACTGAAGATTATATATATAAAAGAGACTAAATTAATAATTAATTTAATGATTGATTTAGTGATTGAATCGATGGCGAGAATCAGTGACCAATTCGATGACTAATTTAATAATCAATTTTAATTTTTTTATTCAAATACAAAATTGAAAAATAAAATCAAATAATTATATTACTAAATTATTTAATAAGTTAGTAAACTATTTTTTTAATTTTTATAATGTTATTAAAATTTTTATCAAATATTTTAAATTATTAAGTAGATTTATATTTAATATATTATTAAAATATTTTTAAAATATATTTATATAAATGAAAAATAGTCATCAATTTATAGATTATTTGTTTAGTGATTGAAATTTTAGTCACTAAATCACTCACTAAATATAAAAAGAGAAATCAATCACTGATTCGATTACTTATTAGTAACTAAATTTTTCGATTACTAATTTCGGTCAATATTAACCATTTTTCTAGTAGTGATCGAATCGGTGATCGATTCGATGACCGAATCAGTGACCAATTTCCATTCTCGCAATTTTAGTCACTAAATCGAGTCACTAAATATACAAAGGGTAATCAATCAACTGATTCGAGTTACTATTAGTGACCGAATTTTTCGATCACTAATTTCGGTTACTATTAACCATTTTTCTAGTAGTATCATGAAAAAAAATTACCTATATAATAAAATTAAAAAAAAATTATTTCTTGCAATTTTGTATAAATAAATTACAAGAAAATTTTTATGAAATATAAAAGTTTCTAGTAATGTTTCAGTACTTATATACAAAAATTCATCATCAATTTGTCTAAAACCAATATTGAAGGAATTTTCAACATTAAATCGTAATTGATGTTGAATGTGTAAACATATTATCATAATGACACATGTTTAAAAACTCAACATTAGTTGTATTTAAAACCAACAAAAATTAATATTTTGGATATTGGTTTATATTTGACATGGAATTTCCTAATTGTCAACCATGATTCTAAAACCAAGTTATTATTATTATTATTATATATATATATATATATATATATATATATATGGTAAAATCAATATAAAATGTTATTATTATAAAACTAACTTCTTTTACGTAAGATGTAATGTATTGTCTCAAAAGTAATAAGAATATTGATCATAATAAACTATTGTTTTAAAATATCTGGGTAAATATTGTTTTAAGCAAATTGCTTGAGTCTTAAATAAAATTTTGTACATAAGATACATTTGAAATAATATAAATGTTAAATATTAATGCCATATAATTATATATATATATATATATATATATATATATATATATATATATATATTGTAATTCTATATTTCATTGCATTTGTTTAATTTGAAATAGTACGTCATAACTTATGTTTATGCAAATAATATAGGTATATTGATAATTAATTATAAATATGAGAAATGTTAATTTATGTATAAAAATATGGGAATAAAAAAATACAGAATGCCAAATATATCTTTAATGATGGTTTAAGCCACCCAAAACCTTATATTAATAAATAAGTAAAATTATAATATATTTGTTACATATTTAATATATTATTAATAATCAATTTTTTATTTAGGTCTAATTGAAAATTAATGATATTAATTTAGAAAAATAATAATGTTGTGTGATTTTCTTCACCAACTATAAACTTCAAAGATTTAGTATATTGTAAAGTATTAAATATTTATCTAAAAGTATTTAATTTAATATTAAAACTATTCACAATCATGTTTTACATTTGGTAAATAATTGACTTTTCTATAATTGATATATTAGTATGTTAAGCAACAAGGAAACTATAGTGTATATATTAAGTATGGTATGAACCATAATTCATGTGTCTACACTATAAAAAATATGTCATTTATCGATGAAAATTTAGCGACAAATTAATGATCGTCGATAAGGATTTTTCCAACAGATGTTTCTATTAGAAGAGTCGATAATTTCATAATGTTTATTAATAAATAAATAATAAAAAAATAATACAATTTGTGGGATTCGCCGGTTATGTTGTATTGTCTGTCGATAAGCATAGTAAAAAAACATTAAAATGAAACTATGTTGTTTTCAAAAGTCAACCTACATGTGCCCTAATTGTCGTTCCTCCCAAATCACCTTCATGTGCCTTAATCATGCTGATAAATTTCCAAATAGAATTGACGCAAAAAGATTTAGTGTTTGGAATCAATTAAGAATAGAAAATTAGGAATTGAGAACAATATAGAGATAACCTGAATAAAGAAAGGCGTCACAAACAAAGTTTGATAAGCCTAAGGGTAATCGCTACAAGAATTGGTGAATTATCGATAAGATAAAAAAACCCTAGTAGAGAAATATTCTCACTTTAGCAAAATCATCTGTTGCCTTTTTTCTCAATTCAACAATGATAAATACAAAATTTAGGGTTTAGGATTTTCTTGTGCTTGACTTTCTTTGTAGTAAAAAGAAACCCAAAAGAATTAAAACTAATCAAATATTAAACTAATGATCTTGGGTTCAAATCTCAACTCCACCAAAAAAAATAAATTATTTTTATTTTAACTCTCCAAGCCCATTACACATGTAACCAACTTAGCCTCCTCAGTGACTTGGGTCTTTGACTATAGAGCCTTCCATAAAAGAGTTACCTTCTATTGTAAAGCTTTTTGGGCCTTTCCAATCCTTCCTCTAGTCATTGGTAAAATTAAGTCTTCAATTAGATCTTCATCTTTCTTCTCATGACCTTGGACTTTTATGTCCACATCACCTTCCTCCCAAATCATCTTCTTCCTTAAATCGAGTGCCCTAATTATCTTGTTCCTCCCAAAGCAACTTCTTTCACTTACATCATCTTCTTCCCTGCCCAAACAAATCTTGAGTCCTCTCAATCACCTTGCTCAACGAAATTGTCCAACAACGTTTTAGTATGTTATAGTAGGTGTGTGAGACACAATTGTCAAACAACCTCAAGTCGTGGTGTGTGAAGGTGTTGAGCAACGCCAATACACATTGTGGTAGGTGTTATTCTTCTGCATTTGGTGTCAATTATTTTTTCAATTCATTAAAATTGAATAAATGTGAAAGAGTTAGGGTGTGTGGAGGTTGCGAACAATGTCAATACACAATGTGTTGTTAATTATTTAAAACTTGTTTTAATGTTATGGTGTGTGTAATTGGCATTGTGTTTGTTGGTAAATTTTGAAATTATGGTGTGTGTTGATAAATTTCAAACTGTGGTATGTGTTGATTATGTTTGTGTTCAGTTAGAAGCTACGAGAATTGTCTGTTAGCAAATTTTGGGTCATGTATATATATGATACATATTTGAATGTGTTAGGGTCATTATTTATTAAGCCAAATAATAAAGTGATCTGAATAAATTAAAGTTTTGGCTAAAGGCATATGTCATGAAAATAATATTGTGTAGAGATCATAAAGTAATTTCTAATTTGATGAGGGGCCAAATTGGAAATACTAAAACTTAAGTAATTAACCTAATTTTGGTTATATAAAGGGTCATGGTCCCCTTCTGAGAGCACACAGAAAAATTACATTTACAGTCCCGTTCTTTTCTTTCTATCCCCATCAAGAGAGAAAATCAATAGGGAAATACAGGTGCTCTTCAGGTGGAAGACCATAAGATCAAATCAAAAGTGCTCTACAAAGAATATCATCATTATGGATAATTCAGGTACGCTTTCGCATTTAGTTCATAACATGTTTACAGTATGGGATTATATATGTATGTTTGATCATAAGGAAGAAGATCATATTCAATTACAGTTTAACCTTACAATTGGTATCAGAGCAACCCATACTTGATTCATGTTTACATTTGAAAATGAGATTCTGACTAATTAAGAACCTAGTTGGAGAATAATCTTCCAATTTTATGAACCCTAGATTAAAATTTGGGGTAAAATCCCAAATTTTAAAACCTAATTTCGAATTTGAGGGTAAAACCCCCAAACTCCTCCTGGACCATCCTCTTCCACCTCGCCGCCCTCGTCGAACCCTGGCTTCCCGATCCCTCCAAATTTTTTCTC